TAATTATTCTTGATGTCATTCTTGATTTTTTGTTAATGGGATTTGGGATTTGGGTGGCATATATAGTGGTTTTCTTGGTTGGGTGCCTATCAATTTTTGTGACGTGAAATGTCTTTAGAAGGGTGAGTGAGGGAACAAAATGATGACTTAGGAAAATGACCATAATACCCAGATTGCTCTTTCCTATATCAATATGTAGCTTTTCTAATAGGAAAAAATTACTTATTAATGGTATGCCCCAGGATTGGTGATGAAAGGTTTTGGTAAAATTGTGTAAGGAGGAGCACTTTTGACTTGGAAGGGGCAAAATGGTGATAAGCTTAATAGAGTGAATGTGTGTGTAATTATTAATATTATGGCCTTCCTTCTTTTAGCCCCATGCCAACATCATTTGACTATGCTCCATACCTCCTAATGCTTGTATAATATTATTTGAAATCATTGAAAGTAGTTCATATATGTTCTTGTTGGATGTATGTGCTTGTTTGGTGTTATTGTTTGAAATGAATTGGTTGTTGGTAGTCGAGAACAATGAGTGATAATGTTTTAGAGGGACATACTTGAAAAGTAAAATGAATTTTAGTTATGGAAGTAATGGTCGTAACCATGGAGATTAAAAATTAACAAGTTTATGCAATACTTTCACCTACATGGAATGGTAGAAGTAATGAAGTAAAGGCAGATAGGGTTTGTGTAAATATGAAATACACACATCAACTATAATAATGTGTACGATTTTATGTCCCCTTTTGCATTGGTTTTGATCTAAGATCATGTTATCAATTTCCGGTTGTCTAGAGTGATTTCAACACAAACAATTTCAATCCCGCAAAACTTGTTTTTCTCACATGGTTTCAATTATTCCACAAAAGTACCTCATCAAAACCAGGGGCGTTAATTCTCCACTTAATCTGTAACTTGACTTGCAAGTTAATGAGTTTGGGTTGAGATTTCTGACCCATCAACCTAGGTTGGGTTGAGTTATTTGTTTGGGTTTGCGGGTCAATTCGTCAACCTCATTATATATTTATTATATTTAAAAAAAATTAACATTTTATTTATGAATTAATAGTATATAATCAATATACAATGTTTGAAACTTTTTTTTTTTTTTTTCAAATATGTTGCTTATTAACTTATTATGTTAGATTTTTATTTGGTTGCTCTTTTCAATATAATCAATATAAATTGTTAATTATTAATTATTTTACAAATGTGTAATTTATATAAATTTAACATGTGAAAAATTACCAAAAACTGACTCATCAACTCTTTGACCCGTTAACCTATATATTTCAACGGGTTATGTGTTTTGGATTGCGTTTATTTTTCCAATCCGTCAAGCTTTATATTATATGAGTTGGATGGATCAATATATTTTGACTCGTCAATTCAAATCCAACCCAATTTTCAGAGCTAATCAATATCATATTTCATTTAGTAACAAATAAATGGAATTCTTACCATAATCCTAAAAGGCTAAAACATCTTACATAGATTTGCTATATATATATATATATATATATATATATATATATATATATATATATATATATATATATATATTATATATATATATATATATATATAAAAAAGAAAGAAACCGAATAATTTCATGAACCGACAAAATAAATATTTTTGATCAAACATTATGGAACCCGAAGTCATTTGTCATGACCGGCTAGCCCGATTAGTTTTTGTTGCCTTATTTTGACAATTTTATCAATTTTTAGAGATTAATGAGCTTCAAGCTCGATTAATGAGAGCCAAACCCTTTTATCGATCGACTGACCGAGCCCGCCCAAGACAATCGACTACCACTATTTATGGGTGGATGGAAACAATTAAACGTCTAGGCCCCTATTAACTAATTACTTACCCTGAAATGTAGATATACAATTACACTAAAAGAACTTTTACATACGCTCAAAATAAATACTCAAATGTAGATATTTTACTTGGAAACGTCTTACTATTATACATATATATATTTTTTGCCAACCTTGAGGTCTGACACATATGTTTGGTTTAACTAACAAACTAAACTGGTTAAATAATTGATGTTAATCACCCAACAAATTGAAGAGGTGACATAAAGGCAACACATGCCACCACACAAGCATTCATAGCCAACTCACCGTTATCATCACTTTGGGATTGCTTTTAATTTCTTTATTTATATTACTGTATATTGCTTTGTTTGATGACAAATGCTTGTGTAATTGATAATACTCGAAATCAATTTTTTGCTATTCATTCCTTTCAATGTACATATCGGATATTTGTTGCTTAAATTTTACTTTATTTTTATTTTGTCGATTGTTTTATTTTTATTTTAGATTCAAATGGACTACTTTTGTTCAATTTTTGATGAAATAGATATTCTTTGACAAATAAGTAACATCAAAATATTTGATAAATCTTCTATTTTATTTATTTATATATAATAAATAAGTAATTTTAGAGACACTTGTCATATTTTTGTGTTTCCAAGTCTTTGTCTTTTGACCATAGTTTCCTTTTCCTTTTCTCAATTTACTGAAAAAAAAAATTAAAGCTTTTAAAATTTGATTATTTATAAATTGAACATAATCATAAAAATTTGAAAAACAAAATTTATTATTTTATAAAAATCCAAAAAATAATTTTTTTTTTCTACAAATATCAGGAAAATTAAAGCAATTCTTCTCATCGGTTCTATTAGTAAGTTTGTAGACTAAATAAATAAAGATATAAGTTTTTATAAACACTTCGATTTAAAGAAAACATTAGGTTTTACAAAATATAATAAAAAATTTATTTGTCTTCAAATTCAAATGACTATTTGAAAATGAAATTTTCTAATACGTGCTCCAAAAATAAATATAAATTGAATTATTAATTATAAGAAATATTATTATAACTAAATGTGATAAACATTGTAATATTATCATAACTAAATGTAAAACACATTAATCATAAAATATATTATTTATAATTAATATTTATCACATTTAATTATTGTAACATTCCTTATAATTAATACTTCAATTAATATTTCTTATTTGTGTCTTTAAGTACATTTTAGAAAATCCATTTGAAAATTTATGATTTATATTATCTTTTTTATTATTATGAAAGATATTTTTTTTATTAATGAAATTACATATCAGTTCTCTATTTCAGTTAGATCTTGTTATCACATATCGTTTTAAAAATCTTCACTGATATCCAACCGAGTGTTATACAGAAAAATAAAATACAAATAATCTTGATAATCTAATATCATATCTTCGTAAGGTCATGATCACATGGAAAATGGCAGTTAAAACTATATAAAATGCAGAACAATTATTATTCAACATATATAACATCTAATAAAGTAAAATAATAATGCGTACATTCAACCAATTAATATGGAGGGAGTTTTTGGTATCATGTAAATTAACAACTTAATGCGTTATAATTTGAATGGCAGGCTATTTTTAATTCAAATAATTGTTAACAAGCGTTTGTCATCACTCTGACACAACGACTATAAACAAAGATCAAGATCTCATATTGAGTTGTTTTGAAGGTACTTATTATTTATTTACATTATCTTTTTATTGAATAATAACATGATAATGAAGGTTCCACCTAATTAGTTTTAAAATATATACTCAATTAATGGATAATGAAGTTAATTTCCTTCACAACTAAAAAAAGTTATATATATATATGGTTGACCATTTAATTTTTCTTTGTGTAAATGTTTAACAAATATAATTGTAACAATTTAAAATATATAAAATTATATATAAAAAAGATAAAAGTTCATAAAAAATAATTAAAGTAAGATAATTAAAGTAACTTTTGGATTAATTATTTCTTTATTATAAAGTAAAAAAAAAAAAATTCTAAAGTTGTACTTTTGAACGAAACATTTTTCTTTTTAATTTAATTTAGAAAAAAAATGATTTTTTTTCAAAAGCTTGCTACCAAATATACTTGTACTCTCACACCTCGTATACATAAAGCAAGATTTTTTTTATCAATCATTAATGTAATATTAATTTTTTTTACAACTAAAACACACCCTTTACTAGTATATTTATAATTAAACATGTACGTTATAACTTGCTATACGCATTGTGCTTTAATAAATTATGTATTTATAATTAAATAAATATGTTATAAATATTGTATATATGTTCTTTATTAAAAAAAAATATAAATTTGTAATAATACCAAAGTAATTCACATTAAGTTTAACGTACATGCTTAAAGTAACAAAGCCTAGTGAAACTACATAAGTCAAATTGTTTAGAAATAAATACTATAACTCTTAAAAATAATATTTAAATAATTTTTTAAAACTTCAAAGCATTATCAAAATTCATTTATTTTATATATTATACTTAGTTACGGAATGATATTTTTGGGGTTTGATATAAAGAATAACATGTAAATCGCGAGACTTAACAATGACCTTGTAAAGGTTAATTTTCCTCCAATTGTTAATTGCTAACAAACTAGTTACCCGATCCTAACAGGGACTCTGGATAACTTATTTACCTCTCACACAATAGACTATTAGGTGTAAGCTGATTGTGTGTGTGTGTGTTTTATTTTTTATTTTTTTTATTATTATTTTTTTTAAATAAATATTCAGTATTTAAATAAGATGGAAAAATCGACAAACTTAGAGAGTCAAATTAAAACTATAATACCTTTAAAATGGTAAGTCAATTTATATGTCATATTTTAAATTAACCTTATTTAATGATTTATTATATTTTATTTTAAAATTATTCATTATTAGTCGGCATGGGTCCAAAAAATGGCTGGAAAAGCCCGATAAAGACCCATCAGTTACAACCACGTATTCTGAATCTGGACCTTTCCATGAATAAACCCTAAATTTATTCATATATCCACCAAATTAACAGAATACTAGAAAATAAAATTAAAATGACATAAATGAAAGAAACCCTACAATTTATTGAAATAGCATAATAAAAAAGACCACATACATTAAACATGACTGAAGATTCAGAAAAAAAAAAAAAAAAAAAAACGAAATACAATATGCGATATTCCTCAAAGAGAAATTAAATTAGTATCTACAATTGAACACTTCCACACTCATATGTCACATCCATCCATTTACAATGACCAGAAAACCACGCTCAAACGAATAATGAAATTCTTGTTCTCCATGCATATCGATCAGTTTTATTTTCTTGGATGAATGATGATGATTGATGAATAAACCTTCTTTCAGATTATGCATTGCTTCTGAAAGAACCAAGTGCTTTAATGGCTCCTGCTCTCAATACAAACTGGTGGTAAAACGCAGCTATTGCCGCTCCGATAAACGGTCCAACCCAGAAGATCCACTGCAAAAAATTCAAATTTTCATATGAATTAATAACAAAATACATATAAAAAGATGGTTTATTTCATAATTTCAGCTTAATTTCAAGATGGAGATATGAAAAAAGAAAAGAAAAAACCATACTTGGTCGTCCCAGGCCTTCTCGTTGTTGTAAATCACGGCAGCGCCGAAGCTTCTGGCTGGGTTGATTCCGGTGCCGGTGATCGGGATAGTGGCCAAGTGTACCATGAAGACTGCAAACCCTATGGGTAGTGGTGCCAATACCTTCATTTACCAAAAATAATTAATTAAATATTATTATAATACTGTTATATTTCTAAATAATAAATAAATCTATAGAAGATAATGATAAACACCCATTTCTCAACTACTACACGCTTAAAAAAAGAAAAATATGTGGGTGAAAAAGATTTGTCATTTTTCTACCAAAAAGTTATTCCCTTGTCCCTCTCTCTTGCGCAATTAATTTGTCTACTTATTGATCATAATAACTTTAGCATATGGATTAATATTAGGTGATAATTAAGAAAGAAGAGGATGTATATATGCATACAGGAACGTGAGAGTCTCGAGCACTTCTCTTAGGATCAGTAGCGGAGAAGACGGTGTAGACAAGAACAAAGGTGCCGATGATCTCAGCACCGAGGCCAGTGCCTTTGTTGTAGCCGTCGGCTAATTCGTTGGCACCACCGCCGTATCTGTTGTAGTAGGAGCTTTGGAAAGCTTTCACCAAACCCACACCACAGATTGCCCCCAAACACTGTGCTATCATGTACAACACTGCCCTAATCAACGACACCTTCCTTGCCAAGAACAGCCCGAATGTCACCGCAGGGTTAATGTGTCCTCCTGCGTACATAATTACATTCATCATCAGCTCAATAACTTAATTATAATGATGGATTCATATATGAGATATTATATATATGCATGAATATCTATATATACCGACCAGAGATTCCGGCGGTGCAGTAAACGAGAATGAAGATCATGCCACCGAAGGCCCATGCGATACCGAGAACGCCAACGCCGCCGCACTGATCAAGGTCTAAGTCCGGGTCAGTCTGGCTTTTGTAGCCGATGACTGTTAAGACGGTCACGTAAAGGAAGAGGAGGGTGGCAATGAATTCGGCGATGACAGCTCTGTAGAAAGACCACTTGGTGAGCTCCTCGGCGTCGATCAAGGGCGCCGGAGGTGGGTCATGGTAGTCTTTGCCGCCATGGTGCTCCGCCACTTCAACGTCTTTTGTCATGGCTGTCGATCCAATTAACAGTAAGCTAGGAGTAGTAGTAGGGGTTTTACTTTTTGGAGAGAGGAGTAAGGTGTTTGGTGTGAAATGTGTGGTATTGAAAGCCTGCTATTTATGGGGATAGTGAGGGAGATAGAGTTGAATTATTTCGAGTAGATAAATGTTTTATTTTATTTTTTTAATTTTTAATTTTTAAGTTTTATAAAAGAATATTTTATTTCTTAATTCAGTGATTATTTTATACATGATAAATTTCTGATGCTCAATCTTAGTAAACTATAGACTAAATTGTAGAAGTGGTTATTGTGGTATGTAATTTTTATTGAATCGGTTTTTTTTTTTTTTTTTTTTTTTTTTTTTTTTTTTTTTTGCAAACCAACATCTTTTTTTTACAAACCTAATTTGCTAATTTGCCAATTTCCTTTTATTTTCTTAATATTATTACTAATTTTGGTTTTTACTTAATATTATATACATATTGGGTTTTATTTTTTTGGTGATCTCGGAGGAAGGGTTTATGATCAAAATACTCTTGAGAACAAATTTAGAACAGAGAAACAAAATCTTTCTATATAAAAAACAAATTTTATAGCAAACTGAACCAGTGCTATGTATGAGAAACAACGGATAATAGCAACAAGTTACCTATATGTTATACAACAATAACTATAACGGACAATAGCAACAAACTACCTATATACTATACAATAACTATAAAATAGCAACAAACTACCTATATACTATACAATAACTATAAAATAGCGCTAGCTATTTTGTGTTTAATGATAGCCCACCACTATTTTGTATTCACCCGAGGCGAAAAACATATTACATGATCAAAAGTTATTCAGAGACAAAAACCATTTAAAATGACAAAAAAAAAAGTAGACGTCGTTGAAATATTTCATAGACAAGAAGATGTACGAGAGTAAAAATTGAAAGATAACTGTGGTAGAAGTTGTTGTACGAGAGTTTATATATATATATATATATATATATATATATATATATATATATATATATATATATATATATATATATATATATATATATATATATATATATATATCATCACCCGCGTACTGGGGCACCAACAATGCCCTCTCTCAGAACTTGGCAGTGATCTCCGCCACAGTCTCCGTTGTCTGCCTCATGTCCAAAAACTCTCTGACCAGCTGTTGAAGCTCGACAGCCGGCGCAAACTCTGCCCTGAACCTGGTCACAAAGTCTGACCAGGTCATTGCCTCGACAGCCGAGGCTCCCAACGAGTCACCAACGGACTCCCACCAATCCCTAGCTTGATCTCTCAAACATCCCGCTGTAAAGCTCACTTTCGACCCATCAAGGCAGAAGCCAGTCAACTGTACAGACTCATTGTCTGCAATCCATCGCCTGGTAGCTATGGGGTCCTTCGCCCCGTGAAAATCCGGCGCACCACTGCCCCTGAAGTCCTTAAAGGACAATGTGCAAGATCCTGACTGGCCAGATGCCATGTCACTCCTGAACGCCCTGAGGCGGTCCTCCATCAGCTCGACTATCCCTTCCTTGATCGACCCGAAAATGATGGGGGTCGACTCAAGGATGCCTCAGGTGATCTCTGATGCGATGAACTCGCGTAGCCTCTCATCTACTGGCTCGGAACCTGATCCTGAATCCGATCCCTCACCAGAACTGCCACCAGCTGGCCTCTAACGTAGTACCACCATTCTGCAATAGATACGACAACCATTAGTGATACTGATACTTCTAAAGGAATCACATCTATTTCAAGTTCCCTGGTCTTGTCTTGGCCTTCCTTATTTCGGGTACGGATCATCTGATTTCAGTAGTACGGGCCCATACTACCTTCCACATCTATCCGTACCTTCTTCAAGGACTGCCTCGACTCCACCAGATCCCTTTCACTACTGTTGATCACTGCTATACTCATCCTAGGCTTGTCCTAGGGAAATCTCTGACTCCGCCCTACCTGGTCCTCAGCTGCTGAAGGCCTCATTGTGATGCCAATTAGCCATTACCTGAATACCATCACATGTGATGAGACTCAGATAATCCTTCGAGTAACCGACTCGTCCCTACAACGGTTAGACTCAAACGAGAGCTGCGCAATAGGGCCAAATCCAACACTCTAAGTTTATTCAACCCTGGTCACATGTGACGTGATGTATTCACTTAATGGCTAACTCCCATCGCTCAGAGTCCCACGAAGCACTAAGTAAGCAGCATTCAGACAAAAGGAAACAATCTCAAGCAACTCCGCTCTCATAGAGAGAAACTGAACTAGTATACAGTGCTAAACTCATACTATCAGGCATAACCCTAACAGGCTATCCTACTGTTGTCTACTCAATTCTAGCATGCACTTTTCATACATTGAAGCACATAAAGTAGGCACATAAGGCATCACTCCTAGATCCTTAGTCATATTCTAGCATGTTGTTCTACTAAAACTGATAAACATAACATAAGCTTGTATGGGTACTTTGGGGATTACTTACTTGAGCTCGGCCAGTCGCGCACATCACACACTTTGTTCCTTCTTAAAACTCTTAGAAAACATTTTATTTTTCAAAATCTTTTAATCCCTTGATTTGAGTTCAGACACCCCCGAAGGTGTGTCCGAATCCCTCAAACCAGGGCTCTGATACCAACTTGTAACATCCCAAAAATACGGGCTAAAAATTTCATTTTTAATTAAGCGATTTGAAAAAAAAAAAACATTTGTAACAAAATATCACACGATCATAATATTTGATAAAACATGTCTCGTGACCGTAAACCAAAACATAAAACATGAAAATGTCAGAGTACAAAATCCCATAATGATTCTTGGTGCGGAAATCAAAAGAGCGTGTGTGATGCGCCGCTACCGCGCCAGCTCCTTCCCCTTGACATAAGAGGTACCTGAAACAACAACTGAAAACCGTAAGCATGAAGCTTAGTGAGTTCCCCCACTGTACAACATACCAAATAATCACATAGCATACATACTGCCAGGCAATTATGGGGTTCTCGACCTACCCGGTACGGCCATTATGGGGTGCCGACCTACCCGTGTCAAGCCATTATGGGGTGCTGACTACCCATGTCAAGCCGTTCTGGGGTGCTGACTACCCTTCGGTCCTAACAACTGAACATCGGGGACTGCTCCCCTCATACTACCACTAACACATATAACAGATCATACTGGCATATAACCATATCATCACATACTGTCATACATAGTTGGGGTGCCTGACGTACCCTTCGGTCCTAACGACCGAACTCTACTACTATCACATATCATGCCATCATATAACGTATCAGGTAGTAGCAACCTAGATGATATCACAAAGACAATCATCTAACATACAACTCCTACTGGTGGGCCGACATTGTGGCCGTAGACCCACCGCTACTGGAAGGTAACTCACCTCGAAAGTAGCTGCTGAAGTCTACTTGCTAAGCGCCTGACTGCTGAATCGCAAATCCTCCGGCTATAAATCATAAACATAGGTTAGCCTCTCATACACACCCTTGGGTCAGATGACGGACCCACCCCATGGTCCAAGGTCAACTCCTTGGTCAAGGTCAACTTCCAGTTAACTGGACTCGCCGAGTCATGGCACCGACTCGCCGCGTCCTTCTCCCACTAACCCGGTCCTGCACGCCAAGTCCCTCTTCCCACTCATTGAGTCACCCTTAACTCACTACTTGGGACTATAGAACCGACTCGCGATCTGACTCGCCGAGTCCAAGAACAACTCGCCGAGTTTAAAGAACAACTCGTCGAGTTCCAGGCAATATTCATATGACTTGCCGAGTTGTTCATCCAACTCGCCGAGTCTAAGGCCACCTTCATAGAACTCGTCGAGTCCCTATGACCCATTTCCCATACAGACCAAATCTGAGACATGTAACGCTTCCAAACCATAGATCCATGTTCCCTGAGCATGCTTATCACGTAAAGTTGCAAACTTTACGTGCATGCATGGCCCTATAAGCTCAAAAAGGCAAAACCAAGCTCTTAATGAGGTTATACACTTAATGGGGACCTCAATCACTTTAACCACTTAAACTTTATACTTCTAATACGCCCATAAGGTGCAAATCCGGAGTCCTTTCAGAACATAGAGCATTAACACATGGAGCTTGAGGTTTTAGGGCTTGAAAACCACTAATTTGGGACAAAAAGGGGATCTAATGAACTAGTGATCAAGGTAAGAACTTTTCTACCTGAATGGAAGCTCCTCACAGTGTAGATTCCGGATCTATCTCCCCTCCTTGCAAACTTCAACCTCTTCCTTCTTCTTCTAAGCTCCAAACCTTCTTCACCAAGCCAAAAACACTCTCAAGAACAATATGGGGGCTAGGGTTTCGCTCTACAGCTCTCTAGAAGTGTTAGGGACAAAGGAGGCCAAGTTAGAGCGTTTAAATAGGGTGCAAACACCCGAATTAGGGTTTTTGCCCAAACATGGTCTACTCGCCGAGTCCAAAGTTCAGTCCCTGCGCCTTATCCCACTCCTACTCGGCGAGTTGGCCCATCAACTCGCCGAGTTCAAGGCAAAAATGCATTAGTTTAAAGTGTAAATAGCAAGGAGTACGTACTGGGAACCAGGTGCTACAAAACAAAACAAAATTGAACTCAAAATCATACCCTGGATCGATCTTTTAAGATCCGCTTCACTCCTTGAAACCTATGCCCATTCAATTGAGATGTTGAAAGAGGTTTTTATATAGTTTGAAAATTTTGAAACCGTAAGCCTAACCGTTCGTTACGGTTTGTAAATTTTGAAGCCACAAACCAAACCGTAAAGAAAAATACAAACCGTCAACCCAAACCGATGACTGGTTTGACCGAGTTCACGGTTTCAAATCGGACTGTAAACACCCCTAATGCCAGCACCCGAATAAGCTAGGAAGTATATGATTTATATGTTTATTCACTAGGATGCTATATGGTAGAAGTAGGGGGTGAAATAGTCCCTGGTACCGGTCGAAAGGACCAAAGGTGTAGGCCAGCACCCTGATATGCTAGGAAATGTATTGGTCGACTAGACCGAAAGGGTAGGCTAGCACCTTGATATGCTAGGCAAGTTATCGGTCGAAAGGACCGAATGGCTAGGCCAACACCCTGATATGCTAGGAAAGTTACCGGTTGAAAGAGAGAAG